CGTAATTGTTTATCCATCCATCTAATAGAGTAGAGTCTGTTGTTTCCCCAAGGACAGAGACCAGACCCTTACTTCAGCCCACTGAGTCAATTTTCCTTGTCTGTCTGGTAATTCGACAGCAAGGTCTATTGCCCTAGCAACTGCCCTTCGAGTGCCATGGCAACCGCCAGTGCAGACATCAGTTCTCCACTTTGCCCCTTGGACATCTCCATGGCGATGCGCAGGACGAAGAGAAGGCCAGAGCCCCAATTCTGCGCCTGCGTGGAGTGACAGGAGGGGGTGAACAGGAGGAGACCAGGCTCCTGGATGTGCGCAGCCGCAGAGCGCCGCGGCTGTGCCCACTAGTCCCAGCGCTGCGCACTTGACAGCCAGTCCGCCCGTCCGGAGCCCGGCTCGTTGGGGCAGCATGGCGGGGTCGCCGCTGCTCTGCGGGCCGAGGGCCGGGGGCGTCGGCCTTTTGGTGCTGCTGCTCTTGGGCCTTCTGCGGCTGCCCCCCGCCCTGTCAGCGAGGCCCGTAAAGGTGCGACTCCAGTCCGCAGGGGGTGGGGGTGGGGATGGGGAGGGAGATGGGGGAAAGTGTTGGTGAGGCATTCTTGCTAGTATGTGCATAGAGATGGGCAAGGGTACAACCGACAGTCTCCACATAGGCCAAGCGCATTTTCTGGGTGTGAGGGTGCCGATGCCCAAGGGCTCTTGGCTAGCAGACGCGCCCTGCCCTTCCCTCAGCATCTGGGGCCTGCTCTGACCTCGACCCGCGGGTGGCCTGTGGCGCTGTCCATGGCACTAGGGCATATTTAGAAAAGATGTCCATGTATCAGTATGTGTGCCTGTGATGTGATGACCGAGGTGTATAGGTATTGTGTTCTTTCAGTGCGTCCTTTGCTTTGACTGCCCCTGAACGTCCTGCAATGCTGGATTCTTCTGTTTGACTTTTTTTTTTTTTTTTTGTGGGCTTGATTGCTTTCTCAGTGATACCATGTGTGTATTTGTGAACTCTTATGTGTGATGACGTAGTATATGGGCGTATCTTCCCTGTGTACTTATGTGTTTCTGTTTGGTTTTTTTTTTTTTTTTTTTCATTTTGGAAGGAGTGGTTCTTGTACCTCAGGGTACATATTTCCTGGTGGCTTAGGTAGACTGAATGCTTGGGTTTTTCTGTGTGCATCCACGAGATGGTTTCCTTCTTGTTTCTTTGTGGAGCTGTGTCATTGCTGGGAAAGAAGCCATGATGTCTCTGCTCTGCATGGTGTTTTTAAAAGAGATGCCTATCCTTGCACCTGGGTGGCTCGGAGAGGGTAACAGCAGATCATTTCCCCCGACAAGGAATGTGCACGCAAGCATGAAAAGACCATTTCTGTGCAGTTCCTTGCAGCAGATATGGCAGTGTTGGGTTGCATGTGTGACATTTCAAGGGCTCTCTCTCTCTCTCTGTGTGTGTGTGTGTGTGTGTAGGGGGGATTGCTGGTGAGTAATTCCCCCAAGGGCAGAAGGTGGTGTGGTGGATGCTGACCAAGGGGAGGGACATGGAACAGCTTGCTCTCTGCCTCTTCAAAGCTGTCTGAATCACAGAGAAGGGTTTTTTAAATTATTAAATATTTAGCATGGAACAATCTATTTAACATATATGTAAGTTATAAAGAATAATAGCTACTATTCAGCTTAAGAAATAAAGTACGACCAATACTAAGGCCTCCTTTGCTAGCCTTACCTCCTATTTTTCTGCCCATTGAGTCCATGTATTTGCAGCTTATCTTTAAACAATCTATTGTTTAGTTTCTGCTTTTGGAACATCATAGAAATGGAATCAGGCTAGGCATCTGGTCCCTGGTGTTGGATAGTCTTAGGCTATCTACAGTGGGATTCTAGAATTTGCCTTTGTGTGTGTGTGGGGGGGGGGAGGGTGTGGGGTGTGTGAATGTAGTTTTGAATCGAGGCCTTTCTGCATGCTAGCCCCCAGAACCTTCTATTGGCTTTGCTTTGGTGGAAGATTCATTTATATTGAAGTGTATGGTTGTAGTTCATTTTGATGCACAGCATCATATTCTACGAGTGTATCATGAGTATACTAGTATATCATGGTTTATTTCCAGGGCACTCTTTCCTTTACTCCCCCCTAATTTTATGCTATTAGAACATACTACTATGATGGTTCAAGAATTTATTTATGTCCAGTAGACTTTGAGTGCAACACTCTAAGAGTGGGTCATAAAATCTATTCTTTTGAGACATGGGCAATTTCCCTTTCAAAATGATATCTGTAATTTGTTCTGTTTTCTTTTTCGAGACAGGGATTCTCTGTGGAGCCCTGGCTCTCCTGGAACTCCCTTTGTAGACCAGGCTGGTCTCGAACTCAAAGATATGCCTGCTGGGAGCAAAGGCGTGTGCACCATGCCCGGCTTATTTTTGCACATTTAATTTCCAACAGTATTATAGTTTTTATTCCAAACCTGGTATCCCCCACCTCCCCAAGAAACAAACAAAAACAACCTGGCATCCAGAAGACTCAGGGCAAGTCCTGAGTGATTAAGGCATCACAGTGAGATTGCATGGATCCTAGAGGTGTTTAGTGATCTGAGTGCCCTTGGAGGTAATTGAGTGTCTGCTGGGGCCTTAGAGACGATGGGAATTTTGGAGAGGCCCAGTGAATGTGGTGGTCCGTGGAGCCCCACCCCTCTAGTTGGGCGTCCCTGGCTAGAGGGACGATGACGATGACGATATGTTTTTTTTTTTGCCCACTTCATCTTCTCGCAGGAGCCCCGCAGTCTGAGCGCAGCATCGGCGCCCTTGGCTGAGACAGGCAGTCCCCGCCGCCTGCGTCGGGCCGTGCCCCGCGGAGAGGCGGCGGGTGCGGTGCAGGAGCTGGCGCGGGCGCTGGCGCACCTGCTGGAGGCCGAGAGACAGGAACGCGCGCGCGCCGAGGCGCAGGAGGCGGAGGATCAGCAGGCGCGGGTCCTGGCGCAGCTGCTGCGCGTCTGGGGCTCCCCGCGGGCCTCGGACCCGCCCTTGGCCCCCGACGACGACCCGGACGCTCCTGCCGCACAGCTCGCACGTGCTCTGCTCCGCGCTCGCCTAGACCCCGCCGCCCTCGCGGCCCAGCTCGTTCCCGCGCCTGCCGCTGCGCTGCACCCCCGACCCCCCGTGTACGACGATGGCCCCACCGGCCCGGATGTCGAGGACGCCGGCGACGAGACCCCCGACGTGGACCCGGAGCTGCTGAGGTGCCGGGACGGGGGGAGGGAGGGAGGGAGGGAGGGAGGGAGGGCGAAGGCAGAGATCACCAAAGCGCTGCACTGGAGCCTGAGGAAGTGAAGTCCTGGACCCCGGGGACAGGGGACAGACGCCCATAGACCCCAGACTGGGTGACACCCTACAGGACTAGGGCTCCCGGAGAGGTCTTCGGGGAAGGCAGTTTCTGGGATGGCAGGCAGGGACCTCTGACTTAATCTGAAAGGAGTGAGTCCCTCAGGCTTGAGTGCAAGCAATATGGTGTTGCGAAGTTGTGTTGGCCGGGCTCGGGACTGCAGAGGTGATGCGGAGCCGCATCCTCACTGCACGCCGCATCCTCACTGCACGCCGCATCCTCACTGCACTCCGCTTCACCATGCAGGTACTTGCTGGGGCGGATCCTCACCGGAAGTTCGGAACCAGAGGCTGCTGCGGCCCCGCGCCGCCTCCGCCGAGCTGCCGACCAGGATTTGGGTCCTGAGGTGCCTCCCGAGAGTGTGCTGGGGGCGCTGCTGCGCGTGAAACGCCTGGAGAACTCCTCGCCCCAGGCGCCCGCTCGCCGCCTCCTGCCTCCCTGAGCGCTGCTGCATCCCGCACGCCCTGGAACCCAGGAGCAGCCCCCCAGCAACCCTGACTTCCTGCCAGCACGTCCACAGGCGCCTACCCGGCAACCCCTGAGACCCCCCCATCTCCTGAACCCTCAATAAAAGCGCTCTACAGCAGCTCTCTGACTGAGTGGCGTGTTCTAGGGGCCGGTGGGGTGGGCTGGGTGAGAGCCGTAGTGGCTGTGCATTGGGGTCCTGGACTGACGTGGAATGTGCCCCTGCCTAGTCTGCTCTCCTCGCTGGCAAAAAAAAAGCACCTACAATAGCAGTGGCATTGGCGTACTCACCAGGTGCCTGGGCTAGCCTTCTAGGCTTCGCTGAGGTGGGGTTCCCTGAGAGGCTGAGGTCACTTTCAGCGTCTGCCAGGGGACCACGGCACTAAAGGTCCAGGGGCTATGGCTGCACTCGTTGCCCACCGGGACCAGGGACTGCTTGTTGTGAGGGCCCTGGGTGGATCACATCTGCAGCTGGTCCAGTCACCCAGCACACCAGCAGCAACATGCCAAGCCCTGAGCACACACAGCTCTGTGAATAGTCGGCCCAACCATGGCCTTTGTGCTGGTGATTTTTTTCTGCCCTCAATATGTGCAAGTTCTTTGTACAAACGTCACTTCACAAGGCATTTTTAAACCTTCCTGTCACTGTGAGCCATTGCCTCTTTTAATATATGGCTTCTATCACTGTCTGGTATTCCTAGTACCCAAAACAAGGTTGGGCAGTTTCTCCTCTCTCTCCCCAAGTGCCGGGATTACAGGTGTGTGCCACTACCATGCTCAGACCCCCCAAATTCCTTGAATGAAAGAAGTCTCATAACTCAAGCAACATTCTCCCACCCACATAACACTTAGTATGAAAGCTGGGTACAGTATACACACCTGTAATATGTAATACCAGCACTTGAGAGGTGGAAACAGGAAGATCACCCAGGAAGGAGCTGAGCGTCAGCCTGGGCTACCCTGTCTCAGAAAACAATCAAAACTCGGCATGGTGGCACATACCTTTTATCGCAGGACTCAGGAAGCAAGGGCAGGCAGCTCTCTGAGTTCCAGTCAGGGCTACCTAGTACATAGTAATACTCCGTCTCAACAAACAAACAAGAGGACTTAGTATGGAGGCAGCTTTGAATCCTGAGAACAACATTTATTTATTTAACTTTGCATAGAACTTCATAGAACACAGCCAATGCTGGACACCCCATGTTACCATCAAAAAGACTCCTCACCAAATGAAAATAAAAGGACTCCTCACCAAATGAAAATAAAAAGGTGTCCACAGTAACTGTTATTTGGTGGGGAAGGGTCATCTTGACTCGACCGGCAAAAGGTCAATTTGCTTGACTAAGATCTTCAGGCTACAGAGCAGCCACAGCTACACACGGCTTTGCGGTGTCGGGCCTCCTTGCTTGGTTCAGCCATAGCTTCCTGGGCCCTCTGAATCTCATGGACAAGCAGATCAAAGGCTTCCTCTACACCCTGCCGTGTCTTGGCTGAGGTCTTCACGAAGGGGGCTCCCCACTTGTGAGCAAGGATGGCCGCAGCAGCGTGAGCATCTCCAGCTCCAGCGGTGGTCACCAGGTCACACTTGTTGCCCACGAGTACCAGAGGTTGTTTCTGGTCAGGGCTCCAGGTAGACCATATCTGCTGCAGCTGCTCCAGAGAGGAGGGGTCGTCAAGAGCAAAGACCCCCAGCACGCCATCACCAGCTGCCAAGCACTGGTCACGAAGGGCCCTGTGGATATCCTGGCCCGCGGTGTCCAGCACATTCAGAACATAGCCTCCGTTGTCCAGGGCCACCTGCTTCCAGTAGGAATCCTGGATAGTGGGGTCGTGGTCTTTCACGAAGCAGTGGTGGGTCATCTGGATCGTGAGAGCACTTTTACCAACACCACTTGCCCCCACCACCACTGCCTTGTACTCGGGAAGCTGCCGACCAGCATTTTTGCATTGTGCCCAGGCCTCGTGGCTTTCCTCTGGGGATCTCGTGCACTGTGCGCTGAGGCTCAGATCCAAGATGCTAGACTTGGTTGACACCGCCATTCCCCAACAGTCGGCTCAAAGAAGCGATGTAAACAGCAGGTGCTGAGAGTGAGCGAGAATGAGAGGTCAGGTGAGGCTGGCTGGAAGAAAGGAGACCCCCCAGGTGTCATTGAATCAACAGAGTTAAGTATACACGGTGCCTTTTCTCCTTATTTGGAAGTGGGGTGAGGTAGGGTCTTAACATGTAGCTCTGGCTAGCTTGGAATTTGTCCTACAGGTCAGGCTGACCTCAGTTTAAGCAATCCTCCTGCCTCTGCCTTCCCAGTGCTAGAATTACAGGTGTGTCCCACCACATCCGGCCTCCTTCTTAAACCCAGAGCCTCTATTCTATTGTTCCGCTGCTCCTTCAACGCCAAGCAGGGATATCTCTTTTCAGTAGTTTTTCATATATATATAATTTACAAATTGTATTTATTTTGCGCACGGGAGGTGCTAGACTGGATTGATGGAAGTGACCCCACCCCCGCAGGGGTGGGATTGTTTTTGAGTGCCATAGCATTTGTGTGGAAGTCAAAGTACAAGCTATGGAGTAGACTCTTTTTCTGCAGGAGTAAGCAAGGTGGGCAGGTTGGGTAGCAAACACCTTTATCTCTGAGCCATCTGGCCTGACTGGGATTTTTCAAGTACTCCTACTACTGATATTAACATGCACCCCATGAAGCTCACCCGGTTAAAATGTGTGACTCTTGTGTAACCATTACTATAGTTGAATTTGAGAATGTTTAAAACATTTCGAACATCTGTACGTTCAGAAAAAGAATTTCTATAGCCCTTAGCAGTCTCTCGCCATTGCACAAGGAGAGGGGGACTTGGTTTGGTTGTCTTGGAACCCCAGCTTGGCAGAGTAGTGCCTGTCTGGGGATTGGCTGCTGGGAACTTTCCCACCCAAGGGGTTTATGCTGTAAAAGAACATCTTACTGCAGAAAGATAATCAACCAAGGCTGCAGATCTATAGCTCAGTTAGTGCTTCCTTAGTATGCACAGAGCCCTGAGTTCAATCCTCGGCACCGCATAAAAACAGCCTGCTGCCTCACATCTATAATATTCCAGTATTCAGGAGGTGGAGAAATGATTAGAAGTTCAAGACCAGCCTCGGTTACATAACACATTGGGAGCCAGACCCTATCTTAAAAAAAAAAAAAAAAAAAAAAAAAAAAAAAAGACAAGCCAAATCATATAGTCTAGTACCCACCTATATTGTGAGGCAGGGACAGAGATAGTCACAGAAAGTAAAAGAAAGCCGTGGATGTGGTTCAGTGGGTAGGATGCTTTGCCTAGCCTGCATGCAGTTCTGAATTTGATCCTCAGTACAATGGAAAATCAGGCAGAGGACCAGCAAGCCTGCTCAGCAGGTGCTAATGCTTGCCGGGAAAGCCCTACGAAGCCGAGTTCTTTGACTGGAACCCGTGGTGACTGACACAGGTTTATTCCAGCACTTAGGAAACAGAAGTAGCTGAATCTCTGCGAGTTCCAGACCAGCCAGGGCTACATAGGGAGGGAGACCCTGACTCAAAAAAACAAAACCATCACCACCACCACCACCAAAACCCTCAAGGCAACAGCACCCCCAACAAAAACGACCTTACCTGCTGTGAACTGAACGTTACTTTCTACATTTTATTTTATAATCCACACTGTTGTCTATAATCTCACATTGTTTGGCACCAGATAATTTGTTAATTAATGTTAAGTATTTTATTATTTAATATTGGCTAATTAATTTAAAAAAAAAATCTTCCCGTATGGCAAGCATTGATATGGAACAGAAAAAAACAGACTCAACTCCTGGGGCCTTGAAGAAATTCTAGTGAAAAGAGGGACAATAAATATGATAAATAAGGAAATTATCTTGCATAGTAGAAGAGGTTAGGCACACAGCAGGTGCTCAATTTGTGTTAGCTATTAATAGCAAGTCATTAACTCCCTGAATGCACCTCCATATCCGGTTGGGGAAGGGCCTTCCAAGAGTGCACCATAATGGTGGTTGCCACACTTTCCCCTAGAAACTGGGAGGAGTGGCAGGGGGCAGGTGGTGGGTTCCAGGGGTCCCTCGCAGATTGTGTAGAGTTGGAGGAAGTGAGGGGGGATGGGGTGGGGGGGAGGCCTTAGGTGGAGGGATCCTTCTTTGAAAGGGGCCACTGGAAGTGCCTATCCACAAAGGGAACGCAGGGTGAGGAAAAGTAGGCAGAGGGCAGGGCTTTGGAGCATCCCAGGGTCTGGACCCGGAGGGCAGGGTCTGCGGAGGCGAGGAGAGACAGAAGCAGCAGGGCCTCGGTGCCGAGGCCCGAGTAGTGGCAGAAGCCAGGGAGAGTGGAACAGGTGGAAAGGAGACGTCAGGTTCTGGTAGATTCGGAAGGTGGAACTGAACAGCTTCCTTTCAAGATGAAGACAGGGGATGAGGAAAGAAGGACTCTGAAATTTCGGACGGGAGCAGGGCAGCTGCAAATCTTGAGGGGCTGTGATTAGAGGTGGGGATAAATACGTGAAGGGCGCCCCCCTAAGGGGCCGGCGATTACCTCAGTGACGAATGGAGGTCGGGGGCGGCCGAGTGAGCCCCCAATATGGCCACTCAAACTCATCGTTGTGACCCCCGCAGGAAGGCTGGGGCTATAGTCTCCGTGTCTCTCATTCCCGAGGAACAGAGAAAAGAGTGAGGGGACTGGCCCCGGGCCCCTCGGCAGGAGCGGTAGGGACTCCACAGATGGGCGCTTCAGCTTTCTCCTCAAGTTACACAGAGCCCCACGTAGAAGTGCTGCTGGAGCATCCCCCAAAGCTCTGGGGACCCTCTGGTCACCGGCTCGAGCCGCTTCAACGGGTCTTCTAGACTCGCGTCTCCGACCCAGGAGGGCAGGAGCGGGCCGGGCACACGGGGTCCCGGAGAGAGGGAAGGGTACGGAGTCGCTCCGAGTACGAGCGCTCGCTCGCCGCCCCCTTCCCAGGGTGAGCCCCCACAGCCCGCCTGGGCTCTGCCCTTCTCCGTGTCAGCGGCAGGTGAGGTGTAAACGTCCGGGTTGGGGAAGGGCGACCCTCGTCTATCCCCTGCACCCCTTCACTTGGGACTCAAGTTAGAACCGCGGCGGTTGGTGGCGCCCCGGGTCTCCATTCGCCTCCTCCCACGTCGGGAAACGGCCCCGCTTCCCGCTCAGCGCGGCACTCGACGGAGGGGAAGCGAGTGCGAGGCTTCGCTCCCCCGACGAGGTAGGAACCGAGAAGGGGGCCCCTGGGACCCCCGCGCCCAAAGCTGTCTGGCCCAGGAATGCCAGCGTCCCACTTACCTGTGTGGCCGGAGTGGCGGTCCGCTGAGGGGCGGCGGGCTGCTCTGACCGGACGGACGGACGGTCTGGGGGCTAGGATGCTCCCTACCCCCAGCAGCGGCGGAGGGCGGGGAAGTGGGCTTGCCCCCTCCCACCTGCCCGACCCCTGACCCCCCGCCTTCTCCCCTCGGCCACCGCACAATGTGGAGAGCAAATGTGGGCGGGACCTCCACCTGCCCCTCTCTACACAGCACCCCCCTCTCCGGCCCGCCCCTCCGTCGCCTGGATTGCTTGCTTTAGGCTTCGTTCAGCTTGGGCCATTTGTGTGTATGTGCGTGTAGCGCTGTGTCAGGATTTGACCTGGGACGCCGCATTTTGGAAACCATTTTGTTTTTTGGTCCGTTTGGGTTTTTTTTTTTTTTTTGACGCGGAGAACTTGTACAACTTCAGCTGCGTTTCTCGGTAGCGCTGAGGTAGGTTGTGTCTGTCCTGGAGGGAGACGGTTGTAGAGGAAGGGCTATTTTGTGAGGGCAGAAAGCACCTGATCTGAGGCAGAAGTGCAAGTTATAAATCCCTCAGACTCTCTTGCAGCTATGACAATCATTGGCTAGAATTCTGAGCAAGTAAGGTGGGGCATCCGTAATGCTTCCCCAAAGGGACTGGAATGGGTTGTGACTTAGCTCAGTTGGTAGTGCTTGCTAAGCATGAAGGCACTGCTTAAAATGTACGAAGTGCTGTCATCCCAGCATTAGAGAGGTAAAAGCAGAAGGCTCAAAAGTGCAAGGTTAAGGCTGAAGAGATGGCTCAGTGGTTAAAAACAATTTTTGCTCTTCCAGAGGACACAGGTTCAATTTCCAGCACCCACACAATGGCTCAAAACCATTTGTAACTCTAGTTCCAGGGTATCTGTCACCCTCTTCTGGCCTCTGTGGTACCAGACATGCACATGGTGCAGAGACATACATGCAGACAAAACAAAATAAAATTAAAAAGGATGTACAGGGTCAGAGTTATATGAAGCCAGCCTGTTATATGAGAGCCTATCTAAAAGGGGGTGGGGGGTTCAGAGCTGCCCTTTTCTTCTTGTTGACTAGGTGAGTCTCTGGGATCAGAAGGTGGCAATCAACAAAATTCCTAAGCCATCAGCCAAAGCAATTTTCAGATGTGGAATAAAACTCCAGAAAATCCTCGTTATTCAACTCAGGTTGCCACCCATAACCACTACATCCAAGTTAAAATTGAACCTTATCCTCAATGAGATAGATGGGCAAAAAAGCCCAGTGAGGCTACTTCCTGACACTTTTCATGTCTTCTCACCCTAGAATTCAGCTGGGATAGGCTGAGACCCTTTATTTGTCTTTGTCTTTAGTAATTCTGACTGGCCTAGAACTCTGCTATGTAGACCAGGCTGGCCTTGAACTCAGCTCCACCTGCCTCTGCTTCCCAAGCTTGGGGATAAAAGGCTTGTGCCACCATGCCTAGTGAGACTCTTATTTCTATGGTGGGCAATCCTTTTCTCAGTAATTCTATTAGTTCATTCCCAGTGGAGCCAATCTAGCTGCCTGCTTCAATTTTAGTTAGATTTGGGGGGCATTGGATGGACAGTTGACTTGATGAAGACCCCCCCACACACACTTTCTTCTTCCCTCCCTTCCTCCAGTTGTGCTGGCTGGGAATAAGGGGTTTTTCCAAATTAAGAAAAGCTTTCTTCAGGTTTTGTAACAACTTAAACTTTATTAAATATGCAAGCCTGCTGTAACTGCCAGTTGTGCCCTTCCATGTCATCCTGGTGATTGCAGCTCCTTCTTAGGGCTACTAAGTTGTCCCTCTTTCCTTCTGGGGTAGAACAGTGATGTTCCTCGAGCAGGCAGTGAGCAGGGGCAGATCTACAACCGAACATCATAGTCTTTTGAAAAGGATTTGCACTTAAACAAGCACCTTGCAAAGGATATTCAGGGATGGGTTAAGTGAGGCCACCCTCGTCCAAGGTACAGGTTGCAGTGAACTAAGCTGCTCTAAGGCCTCAGAAGGCAAACAGGCAGCAGCATGTTCTGGGACTTTAGTGTGAGTGGGGTATGTCCTCCCCAAACTTGTTCTGGTGGGCAGCGCTCTTCACTTCTTGGAGATCCTGAGGAAGGAAGCAAGGACAAAGTAGGTGAAACTGAAGGTGGCTTTACTGTAGTCACCAAGAGGCTGTGGCCACTGGAGCCCTGAACTGCCGTATCTCATGGACTAGTCAATACTCCTGCAAACACCCATGGGGCAGCCATGCGAGGAGTCTGTGTTCTCCTCTTACCAACTGACAGAAGGGATATGGGGTGGACAGGGAGAGGGCTCAGTGTGCATGGGTTAACCCCCTGCCCAGGCTCACCTGGTGGTGGACATAAGCCTGACAGTGGTAACACCAGGTGGACAGGTCGACGCAGCTCAGGACGAGTGGGTGTTGCGAAGCTTCATGGTGGTGGACCATATGGGAATTGACGTAACGACTGCAGTACACCTGGGGTTGAAAAGGGAGGGTTTAGCCAGGTGGCGGTGGTGGCACACGCCTTTATTCCCAGCACTTGGGAGGCAGAGGCAGGT